ACTAATTCGAAGTTTGATCTCGGATCGAGTATAAGAGACTCCTACAAAGCGGGAAGCACTGCAGACATCCGCAGAAAAACTCGTTGAGCAGTATACGGTAAAGGGCCGACTCTGTGTCACATTCATATTCTCAAATTGTTCTCGTTTTCAAGGATAAAGCGGAACTTGGGCAATAAATTGGTCAAAATGTATTGTAATGAAAAGTCATTAAAGCTTTAGGCTGGCGATGCCTTCTAAAGGTCCAAGCAATTTTGTGGCGAATTATCATTCAAGCATCACCTCAATTAAGTTGTAAACCACTAAAGCGAGTTTTCCAAGATAAAGAGGGTCCGCAGGCAACAATGCTGCTAATCGTCTGCTCGGACAAAAAACATCTACCTGTGCCAGCAAGCGCAGATTAGAAATGAAGTAGAAGATTGATGGGACTTCATACCTTGTTAGCAATTGCTTTTTTGTATGCCGCCTCATCGTTGGGTTGGAAATACAACTCCGATGCTATAGCAAATCCAAGACTACGCAGCAAAATGGGCTGAAAGAAAAAAATTAGAACATGTTCACACAATGCTGCTAACAAAGAACTAACCACAGTGGTCATACGGGGCTCCTCTCTTCTATCAGAGCATTCACGTGTGTAGGTATGCTTGAATATACGGTCCATGTTGGCAGAAGCAAGAAGACAACTCTTACAAAACGCTATGATGGGAATACGATGTTCCACATACAAATGGTAGTATAGCGCCACTTCCTAAATCAAAACTATAGGTAAGAACCCTACTGAAATGAAATGACGTACAGAGTAGTAAATCTGATGAGGAGTGCATTTCAAGCAACGATATGATAACTTTTGCTCAGCGTGCTTTTTCAGATGATCGCGGAGGTTGGCTTCCGTCAGACATATACTGCTGCACTTTTCACAAGGACTAGAATATCATTGATGGAACCATGTTAATAGCCAAAGAAGATTTGAGATGATGAACTCACAACGCCGGTCCCTTGATCATATGTTGAGCAAGATGTTTGCGCGCCCTTTGCTGATCCTCAAATGCAACAGTGCACTGTTGGCAGAGATACATGCACCGATCCAGTTCTAGTGGAATACCATAATCCTGAGACAAATGATGAGAGCTTCATACACGGCCGACAGCAGGAGCGTACATGAGCTTTTTCCGAGGTCTTTCAAGTCCACATAGTGAAATACGCTGTGGTCTTTCCCATCCCGCCTCCCCCATTCCGGGCCCCGCCCACTAACCCGTATTCTCACTGAATGCGGACCTGTAAAGCTTCGGAAAAAGCTCGCGCTGAAAAACCCAGATATGGGTTCCTCATGGCGAAAAGGCTCCGAAAAGATAATAGACTGGAAAACGAAATTTTGCCTGTAAAGAAAGAACGTTACCTCGTTACACAGATCAGAGCCGATGTCATTGCGATGTGAAGTCTGTTCATGAAGCCGACAGGAAGATTCTCGCAAAAATGACTGACTGCACACAGAGCATTTGTACTTCTTCTCGCGAGTGGAAGCAACAGTGTACGATACGGAACCGGTTGGCCTGTAAATTGAAGTTTGGTTGAAGATCAATGTAAAATCACTGTAGACTCACAGTTCGACAATATCCATCATCATACAATCTTCATCGCCTTCATTAATTGTATGCACGACTGCGGACGCCACCGACCCAGGTGGTGGCGGTGACATCAGCATTGCTTGCTAAAAATATTACTTCTCTGGATGAAACTTGTAAATAACTGCGAAGACCAGCAGATTCCATACAAGTACGAAATGGTGTCATATAGTTAGAATAAAGATCATTCCAGCATAATAAAATCAACTCCTACCTGAGCGCTTTCATCCACTATCACAATCTCATCTTCGTCATCAGCTACGGAGTTTTTGGGTACAGCACATTGAGGATCTTCTTCTTCACGGACTGACCTCAAATGACCTGAATGAACGGCATGACCTCAAATGATAGCAAGATTTAGCGTAAATCATCGAAC